TATCTGCCTTCTCAGTGCTGAGTAGTTAGGGGGGTGCTGCTGCTGCAGTCGGCCTCTGTTTCTCACTCACTGAGCAGAATAATGAGATGAGATTTTCTCTTTCCCAGTCTTCCTCTGTACAGTCACTTTAAACTCAATTTGTTGGCCTTTCCCTTCTTAATGTTACTCTCAACTGCAAATCCATTCCATTCTATTTGATTGTGTTGTGTTGTGGTCCGATCCCTTCCCTTCCCTTACCTTCAGTATGTATTTTTACATCTCCACTGACCAATGGATACTTGGTCAAGACCCCTGGGGATCATGTTCCGTTATGACAGATGTCATGGCATCAGAAGTGCTAGGCTTACTGATGAATGGACAAGTTAGACTAATTTTAGTTGGCCCAAGGTCAAGTTAAATGTGTCAGAGCATCATCCTATATAAGCTGTGTCTCTCTCTGTTCACAATCATCACATAGCTTCTGCATGTAGCCATGTTGATCCGAGCTCGTAATGAAACGTGCATTAAGAAAGAACTCCATGATCGGCCTCATCCTTGAATTCTCCAGATCACCACAGAAACACTTCCCTTCCCTTCCCTTCCCTTCCCTTCCCTTCCCTTCCCTGCCCTTCCCTGCCCTTCAAAGGTAATATTTGATGTTTGTGCCACATTTGAAGATGTGCCCTCAAGATGTTCTGGAGATATCCCATTCATGAGACTGAGATGGTTGCAAGGTCATGGTGACCTTGACCTTTGAACATCTTTGAAACTTCGAAAATCTAATCAGTTCATCCCTGAGCCCAAGTGGATGTTTGTGCCAAATTTGAGGAAACCCCTGAAAGGCGTTTTTGAGAATAAGACAGAAGCAAGGTCACAGTGATCGTGACCTTTGACCACCAAAATTAAATCAATAGAGTCCAAGTGGACATTTGTGCTAAATTTGAGGACATTCCCTTCAGGTATTCTTGAGATGTCCTGTTCATGAGAATGAGGTGGATGCAAGGTCACAGTGACCGTGACCTTTGACCACCAAAATTAAATCAATTCATAATAGAGTCCAAGTGGACATTTGTGCTAAATTTGAGGACATTCCCTTCAGGTATTCTTGAGATGTCCTGTTCATGAGAATGAGGTAGATGCAAGGTCACAGTGACCTTGACCTTTAACCACCAAAATTAAATCATTCATAATAGAGTCCAAGTGGACATTTGTGCTAAATTTGAGGACATTCCCTTCAGGTATTCCTGAGATATCCCATTCATGAGAATGAGGTGGATGCAAGGTCACAGTGACCGTGACCTTTGACCACCAAAATTAAATCAATTCATAATAGAGTCCAAGTGGACATTTGTGCTAAATTTGATGACATTTCCTTCAGGTATTCTTGAGATATCCTGTTCATGCGAATGAGGTAGATGCAAGGTCACAGTGACCTTGACCTTTGACCACCAAAATCTAATACGTTTGTTACTGAGTCCAAGTCAAATTTGCCAAGTCAATGTGCTAAATTTTAAGGAATTCCCTCAAGGCCCTCTGGAGACATCGAATTCAGAAGAATGGAACAAACGGAAGGACGGACAACCTGAAAACATAATGTGTCAGGCAACAGCTACTGCCGGCGTAGAGGAATTAAAACAATTGATACTTATGTCTAACTATGCTCTTACATGTTAGAAGAAGAGGCCCTTTTCCTGACTACCTCATCCACTGATGGTCTACCACTTTCTGAAATCAAAGACCCATTCTTTCAGAAAGTAAATAGTAAACTGTGTTATTTGCCACGTGGAAAAGCTTTACAGACACTAAAGCAAACAGTCAACAGAGTATGTCTTTGTCCTTAAAAACTTTGCCTCATGCTCTTTAGTTTTAGTGTCTAATACTCTTCAGCTATGACGGGCAGTCCTGTCTCTATATATTTGCATATTGTGTCAATGAACAGTACATGTACATGTGTCCAACTGTCTCTCCTCATCATCGTCACCGTGTCCTTATCTGTCTGCAGTGATCAGATGATAGATAGTACATGTGTGTGTCTCTGTACATGTTTGTTCCCCTTATGTGTGCCTGTGCAGTAGGAAAAAGCATAGTGTGTGTGTGTGGTGCTTCGGACATGTTTATGATGTGTATGGTTAAGTGTGTATTTCCTCAGTGTGTCTCTCGGGGACAAGCCAGAGGGCAAACTTGAGGCCTGAACCAGTCACTTCAAACTGCTGCCGTCCAGACTGCTGTCACTCACCACACACCAGCACCTAACTAATGTGTGTTTTATCCTTTCTACCAGCTGACATCCCAGTGCTGTGTGAGTTATGTCATCATCAGCAGCGAATTTATGCCATCATCGTACCTTTTTTTTTTCCACAGCTGATTCACAGTTACTATTAACAGAACGGCAAGTTGTCAATAACTGTCAGCATTATAGTGGCTGAGCTTCAGGCAGATGACTAACCCGCACATAACAAACAGGGGTTTTTTTTTTAATGGTTGTGAGGCAACAACGATCCTAATGTCTATTTTGCTCAATACAGGACTTCCCCAGTTTCATAACATTATAAAACACATTATTTACTCAGTTAAAAGCGCACAGCATGCAACAGTTTACATAAATACACACACAGTATATTTAGTTATGTGTGTTGGTTTATATAGACCATTCATTTTAGTGCAAAAAGGCACAGCTGCTGTTTTAAATCTACAATATGCTGCAAATCTCCTGTTCAACAGAGATAGCTTTTCAGTGAAGTGTGTGATATTAAGCTGCAGAGGACACAATTAGAGTTTACATTGATTTCGTGCTTCATGATGAGCCCCACTTAAGGCTAACTTTGGTATTTTTCAACTTGGACCATATTTTCCCGTGTTTTTGTGTCTAAGTGACTAATGGGAGCAACAGTTTTTGAAACTGGTTCAGTATAGAGGGAGAGCTGCAGCTGAAACAGGCACTGTCAATGTACGTCCACTAACGGGGCTTTCACACCTGCCCTTTTTGGTACCGTTCAATCAAACTCAAGTTCGTTTGCCCCCTCAGTGTGGTTCATTTGGGCAGGTGTGAACACAGCAATCACACTCAGGTGCGCACCAAAACAACCGGGCCGAGACCTTCTTGAAGAGGTGGTCTCAGTCCGGTTACAAACAAACTCTGGTGCGGTTGGTTTGTGGTGAGAAGGTGTTCCGACCTGGATGTGAAGCAACTGCAGTCACATGACACATTGTTTGGGTTAAACATGAGCATGTTACAGTCCTGGAGGATTATTAATGTGCACCTCCTCCTGTACTGCCTTAATATGCACATTCAGCACATCCAATGCATCAAAACATTGTTTTCTAGTTGGAGCCGCGCCTCGTTTTCAAACTGTATGGTTTGACTAAAATGAACAATGACAGCAATATAGTCCACGATGAGCAGCGCTAAAATCAACCTGCGTAGTTGTCCCTCCATTGTGACATTAGAAAGTGTCACATTTATCTTGCAAGTGTACTCTTCTTCAACGTTTGCTTTACTTCCTGGATTTTTCCCACATGGAAATTCTGACCAATCAAGAGCAGCTTTCTCACACAAGGCATTTGATCTGGTCCTCTTGTAAATGCTGCCGTGAGAACACGAACCAACTCTAGGCAATTATACAACTTTGTGACAACATGAGTCCCTGATTCAGACCAAAGCAAGACGACTCTAGGTCTGAAAGCACAATATAAATGCTTGTTTTTGTCACAAACAAGCATAGATTATTGTTCTAAGTGTCTGACAACATTATGGAAAGGATCCCTACAGAGATCCTTTTTGTTCGACCAGAAACAGCCTCAAAATTTGTTACTGCAAGCAGCTACATATTCTAAAATGTGGCTGCTTCACACACATCTTTAACCTGGCAGCACAGAAGATCTACGCCTTAGCATGTTTCATTTACTGCTATCGTTGTTTGTTGTTTTGTATGATCTATACAGTCGGCACAATTTCAAGGTGGACGCCCAAGGTTAGTATCACCACTAGTATCTGACCTCATGTCTCCCATTCTGTTCCTGAGTTATGACGTTTAATATAGGCACGGAAAGTGTTTTTGCATAACATTATGATGTCACGGTGAAGTTGACCTTTTGGATAAAAAAAAAGTCCCGGTTTTATCTCTTCATGATTTTCTATTCGATATTTGTGTGAAATTTTTGCTCGGAATTAGCACATGAATTCTTGAGCTTTGGCCAAAAACATGTTTTGTGAGGTCACAGTGACCTTGACCTTTTACTGTTGACAACCAATATTTAATCAGATCATCCTGAAGGACTTTTTATATTCAGGAGAATGAGACGCACAACCTGAAAACATAATGCCGGTGACAGCGGATGCCAGTGTGGAGATATACAAATACCAAAGTTATGCTATTAAGATTCCAGTCTTGTACCTGTGCTTATCATTTCACAGAGGAGAACTTTGCTAACAGCTTCTTCCTCTCACTCTATTCATGCATCTAACTCACTGTAGTTTGTCCTTGTAGTGGTGAATTTTGTGTTGCAGCACTATGTTATGCATGTTATGTGTTTTTATATTTCATGCTTCATCTTCGTCTTCATAGTTCCTGTCTGGTCCCTGTCACATATTCACACATGACATGAGTTTGTCATGTGAGAGGCTGAACAGTCATAATATTTACATCATGGCTGCTATGATCTGATATCATATGGAGAAATGTTAAATCAGCCACAGCACTCAAACATGAGTCATGACTCAACATGGTTGAGTCGGACTCATAAAAAAATCATTATCCTAATTGGTGCTTGCTCTTCCTTAACCACTTTCCTGCTCAGTGTGTGTGTTGGGGGGCACTTAGTATGTTTCATCATCCTGACTGAGTTTATGCAGCACAGTATCTGACCTCACTGACCTCTGTACATTAAGCCTGTGCTCTGTAGCCATCTTGTTATGTTCACTTCACCAGTTTAATCCATTAGTAAGTACTCAAACGTGCATACGGGTGGTTGTAAGGTCATGTTTCTCCATCTCAGCAGTGTGTGTGTGTGATCCCACTCACCCACGGCCTTAAGCGAGGTGTACTTGTTGAAACCGATTCCTAGGTTGTTGTGAGGGTGAGACAAGGCCATGGCTGGACCCAGGGGAGACAAGGCTGCGTTGTTCAGATGGTTATGATCTGAAGGACAGAGAGACAGAGAGAGAGAGAGAGAGAAAGTTTCCATTTAAATATTGGACATAAAAATACATTTCTGAAGTGTCAAAGTGGCAAAGAAAATGCAAATCAGTATCGTTTCTCATCAGGAGTGGGTAACATTATCACTTAATTATAAGTCTCCTGTAACCCTGGCACATCACGGCCCTTTGGGACTGATTCCGATGATTAAACATAATGTTTGCACACAGTATCCCGAATGTGACGTCAGATGCTAAATAAGCTCTTTGTGGGATGTAATGATTAGCTGAGGCTGGATAAACATTTGCGCATTTCTATCAGCCCTCATTACATAATGTTTCTGCTTAAAATAAATATATTCATGAAGCTTTTAGATGTGCAGGTTACCCAGGACAGAGACAAACGTTACCTAATATAGGCTGTTAGAATACACATGAGGACAGCTGGCAGGCAAAATAACAAGCACATTCACAAACCTGTAGTGTAAACACACTGTGCATATTCCTCCGTACATTCTGACAAACAGACGCATGAACACAGTTTGCTGTTTTTATAAGAGATTGTGACAGTTTGAAACTTAGAGTTTTGTCAAGAAATAGATCCAGTTTCCCCTTTGAATTGTAGGAAAAGTATAGTTGAGGCAGTCTATCAGTCCTAGATTATAGTGATGCAGCTTCTACTTTCAAACCCCTAGATTCAGTTCAGCATTCATTACTGGAGATCCTATATGACACTCACCACTGTATTCTGTATACAGTAAAAAAGTTGAGTGGTCCTCTCTGGCACAAAAGAATAACAAACACATGTATCTCTCATCCATAAATCCCTATGCTAGATTGAATCACAGGACTCTACCAAACTTGCCCTACAAATTGTCTTGCTTCGGGTGTGACAAGTTTATTCTGAACTTGGACAATCTGATATCCCATTAGCATGTAGCTACAAGTAGTAATGTACTTTTAAAGTTTTTTAAAACAACTGCACATTTCAGCAGGAATATGATCTGAAAATGGGAAGAAATCCACAACATCAGCAACCAAGATCACATGTTTCCCTGATGCTAGCATGTAGCTACATGTAGCAGTGTACTTGCAGTCGAGGAATGACTGTTTATAGCTGCACTCTCTCCCATTAAAAATCACAGATAAAGGTTTCTCAACACAACTGCACATTTTTAGCAGGAATATGATCTGAAACTGGGAAGAAATCCACAACATCGGCAAGCAAGATTACATGTTTCCCTGACGTTAGCATGTAGCTACATGTAGCAGTGTACTTGCAGCTGGGGAATGGCTATAACAGAAAATAGTGGCACTTTCTAATGTGAAAAATCACAAATTAAAGCTTCTAAACCCAACCACCAGGAATATGATCATAAATCAGGAGAAATTAACAACATCAGCAACCAGCATCCCTGATGTTAGCATGTAGCTACATGTAGCAGTGTGCTTGCAGCTGGGGAATGACTGTAAAAGAGAAAAGTGGGACTTTCTACTGTAAAAAAAAATCACTAAACCCAACCAGACATGTTCTAACAGGAATATGATCAGAAGTCAGGAGAAATTAACAACATCAGCAACCAAAATCCCTGATGCTAGCATGTAGCTACATGTAGCAGTGTACTTGCAGTAGAGGAATGACTGTTTATAGCTGCACTATCTCTCATTAAAAATCACAGATAAAGTTTTCTCAATACAACTGCACATTTCAGCAGGAATATGATCCAAAACTAGGAAGAAATTTACAACATTGGCAACCAAGATTAAATGTTTCCCTGACAGTAGCATGTAGCTACATGTAGCAGTGTACTTGCAGCTGGGGAATGGCTATAACAGAAAATAGTGGCACTTTCTAATGTGAAAAATCACAAATTAAAGCTTCTAAACCCAACCATACATGTTCCAACAGGAATATGATCAGAAATCAGGAGAAATTAACAACATCAGCAACCAACATCCCTGAAGTTAGCATGTAGCTACATGCAGCAGTGTACTTGCAGTCGAGGAATGACTGTATCTGCACTCTCTCCCATTAAAAATCACTTATAAAAGTTCCCAATACAACAGCACAGGAATATGATATGAATCCAGGAAAAAATTTACAACACTGGCAACCAAGAGTACGTGTTTCCCTGATGTTAGCATGTAGCTACATGTAGCAATGTTGGCTATGTAAACACTTGCAGAAGCATGCCTGAAGCAGATGAGTTTTCAGAACGGTGAGTAGCTTGAGGTTTTTGCTCACAGGAAATACTTTTACATACCTTTATTTCATTCTTTGAAAGAAGTACATGCACACACACACACACACACACAAACCTGACACCCGTGTCCACCAGCCCTGCGATGACTGAGATGCATCAGTGAGAATGAAGTGACGGGGAAGAGCGAGGCGAAGAGAGCCGCAGAGCGAGGGATGTGACACCAGCTCTGACTGATTGAATTAGAAATAGATCTTCACTTCCCCGTGTAATTGATATGCAGTGATGACACGCTGTGTGTGGCATGGAGTGCAGGGAGGCACAACTGTGTGTTGTAATTTTTATGTATGCAGAGCTGCATGTGTGTAAAATGTGGGATGTTATTGTCTTATGTGGACCGCTGGTGCCACCTGCTCTCCGCACGCATTTATCAACCATTCATCTACTATTTCTTAAAATTAAATGAAGACACAACTGAAATCCTGCTTGTCGGACTCAACAAAAAGAGAAATGCTGCTTAGTAATCCGGGGAATCTAACACCCTGGATTAAAGTGTTTTTAAATGTCCTTTTATATTGAATTGCCTTGTCTGTTTTATGTCCATTACGTATTTTTTCATGTGAAGCACACACTGCCCTTATTGTAAAGCACTTTGTATGCTGTATAAATAAGGTTTATTATTTATTATTAATATTACCAACACGTCAGAAATAAAAAAATAAAGGTGCATTAACCTCAAGCAAAGAAACACAAACACTACACAAGTTAAGAAAGTAGGTTTTTAGGTTTCTTTTTGAGCGATTACTTAATGACAACGTTTAAAAGAAGAATTTTGCTTTTTTAAGTGTCCTACATTCGGACGCCATTTTCTCAAGCATTTGTCTTGCAAGCCAACAACAGTGGAAACAATGAGACAGAGACAAAGATATGGAGTAAAGAACAGAAAGGTAGAGAAAGAGTGGCGTAGAGAGAGAAAGGGAGGGAAAAAACAAACAACTAATTGATGGAAAGATCCCTGGCCAGTCTCCAGTTTGACCACAGGGCTGTTCCTGGCCACCAGAGACAGAGACAGAGACAGAGACAATACTCGTGTTAATAAGGTATGGGGTGGGATAAGGAATATGGGAAATGGTGTTGGTTATTTGTTAGTTATGTAACAATGGAAACTGCTGAATGTCTCAAACAGTTTCCCAATTCCTCCGTTTCTATCCAGAGTGAATAACTCCTTTAAAAAAAGTTATGAGAGGCCATTTCTCCATTAATGATACAGCAGGGTATAAGAGTTCTGGAAAAAGTTGGTGAGCCCATAAAGTCTGAAAAAGAGATATTTCTCTGACACAATTTTTTTTTCTCTCAAACACAAAACAAATATCACACATAGAGCTGCTGTTTTACATAAGTCTCACTGTAGGAGTGTTTCTAATTAATCAGTGACACTCCTACAGTACTCCTAATTAAAATTAGGGAAATATAATCTCTTTAGGGTTTATGTCATGGTTTAGCTTAAGAAACAAAAAATTGGCACTTCAACTAAAGCTGCAGTCAAAGATTTTTGGCCACTTGGGTGCAGCAAGAATTAGCAGTCAACTCAACATTTATATATATATACACATATATATGTATGTAAAGTTGGGCTAGTAGCTGCCCTCCTCAGACTGACATTGCTGTCACTTTCATTGTTGTCCTTTCCACCCTACTGCCGGCAGGTGCAATTAAACAAAAACGCAGTCCACCCACGTATCATGCTGACGTGAAAGGACAGCCTTTTAGCTCTGTGTCCGATGCCGGAAGTCACTGCCAAAGCACCGGTTTTCAACGAATTTAGGGTGAGACCGGGTTGATGAATGTTAAACCCTAAAACGGTGATTCCCAACTGGTCCAGATTTCTCCTTTGTCATTAGTTCAAGTTCCACACAGGTCAATACGTTCAGCATCATACTTGCGTTTGGCCATGTTGCTGAGCTAGTTTTTGGTCTCTGTTAGGAAGCTGTCAGTTAGTCACTCCCTCACAAGCCCTTTTTAAACAGGAGTTGTGCAAATTTGCAGGAAAGCCCAATCAGTCTTTTTTCAGCATTGGCAGTATAAAAACAAAATCGGGGAGCGCAGCAAGTAACAAAACGTGTAGCTCAGCGTGTGACGTAAACAGTGACGTACTCCGAGGGAAGCTGCGGCTGGCCCATACTCGCCATCCCCGTCATCTGATGGTTAATGGCCTCTTAGTTTGCGAGAACAAGGAGGGCGCGCAATTCCTTGTCTCCCCAGTTGCTCATCTTTACAGTGTCTGTCAGGTTTATGTTGCCTTCTTGCTACTAGCTGCTCGCTAATTCCTGCTATCAGCTGTTTCCTGTTTATCCACCGCCAGTGGCTCACACGTGCAGCGTCATCAACAGCTCCTCCCATAAGTCATCAACAGCCCCTCCCGTGGCAGAAGGGCGCCTCGTTCTTTATAAACTAAAAAGGTTCCACCAATATGTCTACCCTACGAGGCGGAAAATTGGGCACCTTGGATCAACTCGCCAATCTGGCTCTGTGTGTCTAAACGCTCGCAGCTTGCCGGCAAAATGGCCGAAAATCTGGCAGTGTAAAAGGGGCTACTCACTCACTCTTGCGCAGCAGGAAACAGTGATTCAAAATAAAAGTGGTGCTTCGGAAATTGACTCTACTTAGAAATAAAGTGTGGGTTTTATTCCAAAGTTGACACGTCTGTAAATCACTTGTGGTCCATGCCTTCATTTGAAGCCGTGAGGATGTAAGCCCAATGTTTTCTCTCCTTTTAGCTCTGGTTTTGGTCTCCACCAGCTCT